AATGGCTGCCCACTGCTCCGGGTGTGTGTTCACGGTTTGTGTGTGTTCACTGCTGTGTGTGCGCACTTTGGATGGGTAAATTCAGAGCACTAATTCCGAGTATGGGTCACCATACTTGGCCACATGTCACGTCACTTATAGTATTCCATTTCAAGCTAAGCATTCAAACCAAACATCTGCACGATTAAAGTAAATTAGTATGTAGTATGCATACTAAGTACAGTATGTGTATTTTTGGTGTGCGTTAAATACCCAAATTATCTACTAAATTTGCTAAATTGGGCAGTATACCAGATTACACTGTGTAATACTGTATCCCACAATGCAACGCTCTCAACTTGATCTTCCATTTTCTGTGAGACAAATAAACCTAAGTCATGATTTTAATTACTTATTTGATCAGACTTCCAACGGTTACAACATTTTGGCACAAAATTGGGGTGATTAACTGGACTACTCACAAAGTAACAAATTAGTTTAGAATGTTTTGCATACCACTTTCACAAAAACAGTGCACAGTATAGATTATACACTGCATAGTATGCAGTGAGCTGTATGCTTGTGTTCCATTTAAAATTCAGGACTCTTAAAACCAGCGATATAAAAGCAGAAAGCAGAATGTTTCTTGAGGGTTCGCCCATCCTGAGATACAGGAAAGCATCTCTCCAAGACGCCATGTTACTATGCCAACCAGCTCTGCGCCTGGTACATCAGCGCTGTGTTCTTTTGTATTCATTTCAGCTCAGTGTCTTGCATTTAAGAGTGGAGTGGAAACACTAACCGTGGCCTGCTGTCATTTAGCTCTTCACTGAGCTAAAAGCTAATGGAAGTTGAAAGAGTCGTGATAAAAGGCTTCATTCATGAACGGAAGGAACGAGTGTCATTTATGTAATGTGACTCATTATGTTGCGTATATGGAGACCTGAATAGAAGATGTGATATTGGTCTTGGACCAGCTTTGCTTTGCTTTTTATGTCCAGGTTGGGATTCAGGCCCAGAATAGAATACTGCATCACGAAATGTACCTGAACGCAATTTATAATGCAACAAGTACGAGTTGTATTCTCAGTTGCAGGTTGCGCAATAGTTAAACCGATTAACGATTTGATTTTCCTTCAGAAGATCAAGGGAATTGTGTCTTACCTTATGGCTCCGGTGGTCGCAGACCTCGGTTGCCGTCGACCCTTTAAGGCACGCAGTTTGTCTCCTTGCGTCATACCGAGATTGTTCTCTGCATAATAGTTCTGTTGAGAGTTAGAGAACATCATTGTTTATTTACATAAAAATGTTTCATAATTGTATACACATTGTATATACACAAGTTTATTCTCTTCTCAGTCAGTTTTCAAAATTAATAAACTAGTCAAGTAGTAAATTAAGTAGTATAATACCAATATTAAAATTACCCCAATTTTGAAGTCATTAAACATTTTTATTTTTAATTTTTATATCATATTTTAAATGTATATAGTGGTTATCTCTCCAACATCATACTCTTTTTTTATGTCAGATTTTGAAAATATTAACCTGTTGAGCGGTACGATCAAAAATAATAAAATACCGATTTAAAGTAGTAAAATATAAATATTAAAATGTTGGCCAACATTGCTAAGGCGATAAATATTTTTTTATCATTTTATTTATATTAGATTTTTATTTCTTTACTCAGTGTATATGGTAGTTACTAGAGCCCGACCGATATGGGTTTTTTTGGGACCGATACCAATATTAGGGAGTAAAAAAGGCCGATATCGATATATTGGCCGATATTCTTTGTGTATATTATAGTACAATACCAGTCAAAAGTTTGGACACTTTCCCATTCATGTGTCCAAACATTTGACTGGTACTATATATAGAATACAGTATATACATAAACAGAATATATAAATATAAACACATTTTTTGCAGTGATCACTCAAATGTGGTGATCAAACACTTATAATGACATGACAAAGATCAACAGTAAAATTACAATACTAACATTTATGAATGTTGATAAGAGTTCTTGCTTTTTCTCAACTTTTACTTTGGCGGAAACACGCAGGAAGACCTCAATGCTTATTTGTGTTGATAACAGATTTATAAATGAGTCTCATTACGAATACGTCGTACGTATCGCATTGTCACATGCCTTGTAAAAATTCATAAAATGTCAGAATACATGCAATGCATGTATTAGAAAACGTAACGTTCTGCAGTTTATTTACTAATTTCACAATTTCAATCATCATACAGCAACCGGCAACATATGCCTTTCCTCTTCTCATTGAAGACATGCGATGCAGTCCTAAACTGTCTCTCGCTGTCGGTGCTTGTAATGATTTTTGCTTCTTTCTCCGACAGTTTAAATGCTTCCACACTGCTGACGTGTGTGCTGCATAATAAAGAGTGCGTGCCTCTCACTCTCGATCAGATAAGATTTTAAGCTGTCATATGGTCAAGTTACAACGTGCCCCTCAGATGTTACAATGTGTTCCACCTACGGGGCATGTTGTCACATTTCACTTCCATTTTTTGAGGGTAAATAAAGAAAAGCGTATACACTGTAATTATGAAACAAAGCGACATATTTGTACTAGACAAGTGTAAAATTACTGTGGATAAAAAAATATATATATTCTGAACCCCATGTGGATTTACACAAACTGAGAAAGTCAAAAAGTGTTACTTTGTGCCCCGCTTTCCCCTACCTCTGTAAATAAATACAATATAAATTCACGTCTCGCGCACTTTAATGCCCTTTGAATGTAACGTGTACGTTCCCTTGGAACTGGAATCATGTAGGAATTTCATGTGAAGTCCACTAAGCAGGGCACTTACGGTCGAATAAGACCACGCTTGAATGCTGCTGCCTGAACAAGAGACCCTCTATCTAGAGAGTCACTATCTCGCGAATGCGCTGGCGGATCTCCACCAAATTCGGGGGATCCCTTCAGCTCGAGGATCGAGCTGAAGGGATCCCCCGAATTTGGTGCGGATTCGCTGCGCCGTTACGGAGATATGGCCGTTCAAAGTTTCAATGGTTTTCCATAGACTTAAGCTTGAAAGCGTTTCATCCAGGTCGCCAGTAGCAAACAATGGAGCGCGCTCTGCTGGACAAACTAAGTAATTACACCATTTCAAGTATTTTATCTGCGTTATATGTTCTGTAAAAAAAATTGTCATATCGGCGGCATATTCGCCGATACCGATATATCGGCGACAGGCTCATATCGGCCGATAATATCGGCAAAACGATATATCGGTCGGGCTCTAGTAGTTACATCCCTCTTCAATATTACACTCTTTTTCTAAGTCAGGTTTTAAAAACATGAAACTATTCAGTATTAAAATACCGATATTTAAATTATAGCCGACATATTTTTTCAGGTGATAAATATTTTCATGTTTCATGGCTAATAACCGCTAAAGTGACAACATTAAAATTATGTATTATTTTCACAAATTATTAAAGGAGCATCTTATGTAAATTACTAATGAGTTATTAGGAATTTCCTTTTTGAAAATTATTTTGAACATTAATTTAAATTTCTGTATATAATATTTTACATATAATATATAATTATATATACATTTATTTAATTCAATTTGATTTATTTAGACAAAATTAAGCACTAATTTAACATTTAAACACTAAAACCTACATTAGTTGTTGAATTTAGGTATCACAACATAATCTTTGCTGCTTTCATACTGTACATTTAAATCTAAATGTAAAAAATGAGGAAATGAGCATAAGCAATTAAATATCAACCACTGTGATCTGTTAGAAATACCTAATATATTGGCCGATAATTGATATGGTACTGTTATATTGTGCATTCCTTATTTTAAATTAAAAACAAAAATAAAAATTGGCCCAGCAGGTCTCACCTCCTCCATACGGTCCAAGCTATGTGATTTAAAGATGGAGGTGTTGATGGAGAGGTTGTCCATACTGGAGATCAGGTGAGGCACAGATCTGTCCTCATACTGCCGCTGCTTGGAGCGGTGAATATCTCCATGCGCCCAGAGACTCGCCTGCTTCCTGTACAGGTACATAGAGTATAGTTCCCAATCAATGTCTTGTGCGTATCTTGTTTTGCACAAATAATAAGCCGTATGGGAAGAAATCTGGACCATTCATTCAATGCCAGTGCCAGATAATGGATACTTTGTATCCAGCACACAGGAACAGAATCTCACACTTCTCACAATGGCCTAAGGAAGAAAATATGCCTAAAGATAATGTTCAGTTGTCCCGCGGTGGGCTTTCCCTCGCGCTGCGGCCCGCAGCATCGTGTCAGCCCAACAAAACACTTGAGAGATTAACTTCAACTGACCTTCCCATGACCAGTGCTGTTTTAACTCAAACATGACAGAAGTGAACCATGGTCTGGTTATATGGCGCACGCAAGGCCTTAATAAAACACAAACGCTGAATCAGACTCAACGTACCCTCCTTTTCCCAAGTCAGAGTTGGATGATTCAGCCAAATGTGGAACATCTGCTGAACTTTCTGATCTGCTTAGCAAAGGAGTGCACTCTCAAAAAAACCTTTTACGCTTTTGACAATACACGACTCTGAGCCAAAGTTAGAGCACTTGTCAACATTATGTAAATGTAATGAACAATAAAAAGATGAAAAAAGCCTCAGGAAGGTGTTAAGAGCCCAAAAGTGGTGCATTGTGAGTCATTTTCGGGACTTACTCTTCTAGGTAATGCTGCTGGGGTCCAATAATAGAGCCGGGTCTGCAGATGCGGATCCAAGCGATGGCTTCAGCAGCCGTGAAGCGGTAGTGCTTCATCAGGTAGCAGCCAATCAGAGTCCCCGTCCGGCCTAAACCCGCTGTGATTGGTTGAAATAAGGTCATAGGTGTTTAAAATGCATATATTATATAAAATTATCTATTGAAAACTAACTGCTCTTAAAAACAAATGTTTGGGGGCTCGTTGGTGCAATTCTAAGGTATCTTAAATGGTTAGTTCACCCAAAAATTAAAATCACTCAAATTCTACTCACCCTCATGTCGTTCCAAACACGCAAGACCTTCGTTACCCAGAAAGGTAGGTAAGGACATCGTTAAAATAGTCCATGTGACATCATTGGTTCAACCTTAATTTTATGAAGCAACGAGAATACTTTTTGTGCGCAAAGAAAACAAAAATAACTATTCAACAATTTCTTCTTCAATAAAGTCGTTAATTTTTTTTTCTTTGTGCACAAAAAGTATTCTCATAGCTACATAACATTACGGTTGAACCACTGATGTCACATAGACTATTTTACCGATGTCCTTACTACCTTTCCGGGCCTTGATCGTGGTAGTTACCTTGCTGTTTATGGAGGGTCAGAAAGCTCTCGGATTTCATCAAAAATATCTTAATTTGTGTTCCGAAAATGAACGAAGGTCTTACGGGTTTGTAACAACATGAGGGTGAGTAATTAATTACAGATATTTAATTTTTGGGTGAACTATCCCTTTAAGGCCACATTACCATAACACTGATGAACATTTTGGCTCGCTTTGAGTCTGACCTCAATAATAGGGCATTTTAATGTTTAATGCTACATAAAAACAAAGCTATTTTGACAATTATCCTCTTTTTGCGCAAAATAAGTAGGTCAATGAGGCGACTCTGTCATTTGCGTGGCTGTATTTCCATGTCTTTGATTTAAGTGGTGTCTCACCCTTGCAGTGCACGGCCACCGCTCCATCCGTGCTCTCGCAGACGTGCAGGAAGCGGCGGGTGATGACGTCGCTGGGCGTGCTGCCGTCCACAAAGAACAGGTCGTAATGGTCGAAACCGGCGTCTGTGAAGCGCTTGGCGTCGTAGATCTTCTTGTTGAGGCGTACTATGTTGGTAACGTTGTGCTTGCGGAAATATGGGAAATAAGCCTCGGGGGCATGTAGAGGGTAACCTGCCACACACGAGAGCAGGAATAACATAAAATAAGAATAACATAGAATTTTTATCTATATATGTATGGTCACACTATTTAAACTATTTATAACAAACCATTAACTATGACTTTTGCCTCAATAAACGCCTAATTTGCTGCTTATTAATAGTTAGCAAAGTTGTTGTTAAGTCTAGGTATTGGGTAGGATTAGGGATGTAGTGTATGGTCATGCAGAATATGTGCTTTAAGTACTAATAAACAGCCAATATGTTAATAATAAACATGCTAATAAGCAACTAGTTAATAGTGAGAACTAGTCCCAATACTAAAGTGTTACCATGTATATATTGAATATCTAATATTTCCCATATTTAGACATAATATGGGAAGCAATGTTTCTATATTTCTTTAAAATTGCATATTTAAAAATATCTATACATTTCGATTAAATACATAATTCCCATTTTTATTATTTATGAAATATCTATATTTAAAATTAAATTTTTTGAATGAAAAAAAACATATTTAATTAAATATAAAATATATTTCCCATATTTAGACATAACAATATGGGAAATAATAATAAAATATATTAAATATACAATACATTTAACATGCTAATAAGCAACTAGTTAATAGTGAGAACTAGTCCCAATACTAAAGTGTTACCATGTATATATATAGAGAGAGAGAGAGAGATTTTTTGCTTTAAAACTGCAATCAATATTTATTAAGTTATAATGAATAAACATAAAATTACTTCGTGAATATATAATAAATCACCCATTAACCTGTCATGCAAGAGAAGATGAAAGTCCATTTAAAAATATATCTTTTAAAAAATATAAATAAATACAGCAAATATACATTTATTTAATACACATTTCTCATATGTAGATATAATAATAATAGGGGAATTAAGTTTAGGTATATATTAATTTAAAATTACATATTCTGAATTAAAAAAACAATAAATACATACAACTAACTAAATATATATATATATATATATATGGGAAATAATTTGATGAATGTTTTTAAATATAAATATGTAATATTAATTTATAAATTACTAAAATTTATATAGAAATATAAAAGATAAATGTCACTTATAAATATATTAATTAAAAAAAACTGTGTGTGTGTGTGTGTGTGTGTGTGTATATATATATATATATATATATATATATATATATATATTCCCATATTTAGACATAACAATATGGGAAATAATAATAAAATATATTAAATATACAATACATTTTCCCATTAACCTGTCACAAAAAGGAAGTACATCATACACATGTAATAAAAAAAAGAAGGACTTAAATCCCTATGAGCCCTAACTGAACCATTTGCTCTTAAAAACTACTTTTACCATGATATCTAATATGTTGCACTCTCTACTTCTGTGTGTGAATCTGAGACGTTTGTGTTTATTAAAACAAGGGTGCCCTCTACTGTCACATGTGTGTATTAACATTAAACACCATGTCTGAGAAAAGTGCATAAATTAATTCAACATTTGGCTATGAGATGGCAAGCAGCCTTACCATTCTCTATTTTACTTTTCGGATGCGGCCCGCTGAAAGCGAGAAGTTTGCCCGGGACGATCCAGTTCAGATCTCCGTTCTCGACCCGCTGGAAGGACGAAAAAAACAGAATTAAAAAGAGATGGAAAATGAATAAAGATTAAGGGAACAAGAACAAAACACAGAATTGAGCCAAGGAGGTTTGTATTACAGCCAATGGAGAATGTTTTATAATTGGCGAGTTGTGCTGTCGTAACCCCTTCAAAGCAGAGGGCACAGCAGGTGACGGATTACCACAAGCTGAAACATTTACATTTATAATACTAAAGGACAAATCAATTGAATGCTCATTTGGCGTGAATTGTTCCAGCGATTGTCTAAATAACAGCCGAGATTATAACACAGGTAGGCGACGTATAATCACGTTGACTTCAGCGAGCTGTACACGATGTGTGCGATTTAAATCAAACTGACCGAGCCGAGACTATCATTATTAGGTTAAAACGTCTTTGGTTCCCAGGTGGAATAAACACGATTATGTAACCGGCTTGAGGAACAATTAATGTAATTCTGGGTAAAAACATTGCATGCTGGTTCGCCTAATGAGCGCGAGCATGTCGCATTTCATAACAAGGGGGCATCATTACCTCGTAATGTTCGTACTCGTTTACGTCGAACGTCTCGAAGTTCAAGAATCCGTGCTGGAGGGCCTGAAAAACAAAGTTTAGAAACATCAGTCATATGCTAACTGCAAAAATGTTCATTCGTATGGTGGATTTCACCTGAAAGTCACACAAAATCCTTTATCCGTCTGGCTGTTTAACCAATTAGTCAGTGTAATGGGGCTGAAGCGGCCTGTCTGGTGCTCAGTGAAGAGCTGCGGGGGAAGACGATTAAGGAAAAGGCACATGAGTCGATAAGCCATGGCAGAGAGCGATGAGGGCCGCGTCTAATGGAGTGTCGGGTTTCTGCTTTTCACATGCATGTCTGCCTCTGACAAGACAGGTTGAAAGTGTACAAAGTGATGTTTTTGTTTTGCTGACTCTTATTCACTTAACTAATATAGAAGTAACACTGGACTTTATACTGCAAAGCGCAGTACTGATACTTTATTCTACTATGCAAAATTGACTGAAATTGGGCCTCTTAAACTATTGTTATGTTTAGCTCATCTGTGTTCAGTTTCAGAGAAAACAGAATGACAATTGAAGTTTCCTTCAATTTCAGTGTAGTTAAAGCTTTTGTAGGGATCTAAGATAAAAAAAAACGAACGTCAACCATGAACTGCTCAACATTATAGATGGACCACTTGTCCAATTTTATACATTTAATGTTTTGTAAATAGAACAAAAACTTTAAAAGACTATGAATATATAATAAATAGATATATGAAAGAATATTTTTTAAAGCTAGACATTTTAAAAATGTATATAATTTAATATTTTTAAAAGTATTTTAAAATATATATATATATATTAAGTGCATTATTATTACTATGTATTTTCTATATTATTATTATATTATATATTTAGTAAGTTTTTCTGCACTATTCTTTTTCTGTGAGGGAAAAAATTAATAGTTTAGGAAAATTGTTAAAATAAGAGTTTTTTTAAATGTTATACACACACACTGTGGAGTTTGATCCTACAACATTTTGGTTACCAGCCCAGATGTTTAACCTTTAGGCAAATCCAAAAACAAAAGAACTGCTCTCATGTTGACAAATCGGGCATTAACTCCTCTTTAGCAGCTTGGAGAGAGGCAGCAGTGGTGATTTGATCATTAACAGGATTCAGTGTTTATCACACTCACAGACGCCGTGTGTGGCTCATGCAATTAAGGAGCTGTTAATTAGAGCCGGAGGGGAGGCACTGATAAAACTGTCACATACGCCTGTCTCAAAGCAACAACTACCATCTTAACAGCAAAGCACAGGAGGGCCCAAAAGTCTTTAAAATGTAACATTTGAAAAGAATAAAGAATGTTTTGAAGACAAAAATAATATTTTTTCTTATACTTATTTTTTCAATTCTTTTAATGCATTTTAATTACTTTTTTTTTTAAATAAAAATCGTAAAACCCTTAAACTCAATTTAGTAAAATTCAATCAATTTGTTGACCATCTTGCCCGCTCCTATTAAAAATCTGAGTGCCATGATCTAATAAACAATAGTAAAGGATGGGTATGCTGTCGGAGGATGCTGCTGTTTTTCTTTGACGTAGGCTGAATGAAAAGAGAGTTTAAGTAGCATAAGGGATGTTTTTTGAGTGACAAGCATGTATTAATGCACTCAAGAACGTACGCGTTCCGTGTTTAACAAGTCTTTCTGGCGGGTCAAGCTGAAGACACACTGATACCTGCAGACGTGTTTGGCTGTTGCTGAGATACTTGCAAAACAGACGCGACTGACAAACTCACGTGAACACTATTTACCTGCCAACTAGTTTGACAACTTTAAGCAAAGAACTGAATAGAAACACATTATTAGTCTGCAGGTGGCATCCTTTCCAAACTTTAAAAGACTGATTATACGGGTTAGAAATGTTTTTAAAATGTCTAAATTGAAAATATTTAAAAAGGGAGTATTGATTGTAGTGTATAGGCATTGTGTCCCAAAAGAGGAAAAAAACTATATGAAATGTTCAAACTCGGACAAATTACCCATTTAAGAAATCAGATCGTAATTGGATTTCAAAACAAATATAGATCTGGTTTGTTCAATTCAAGTAGCCTTTTGCTATTGAGAATACAAAACAAAATGGATTTGAGTTAGATACACCAAAAAACTGACTGCCTATTTGAACAAAGACACAAAAAAGCTGTCATCATGCATGTCTTCAGCTCACACACTCCCACACCCGCAGACAGAGTCAGAGAAGGACTGTACAATAGAGGGCTGAAGAGAGATTCATTGCCCCGCAGCTCAAACTGAAGACACCTGTTGTGTTATATAAGCCATCAGCAGCATAACCTGCCTGAAGCAAGTTTTCCAATACGTAGACATAAATGTTCCTGGATGATTAAACAGTCAATTAGTATCTATGAGTATAATCCAGGATTGTGTGTATAGGTTGAGTGCTGAACCACTTAAACCTGTATCGTTCTTGCTAATGTAGGCTGATTAATGCATTTGCATTCATTTGTTAGAATTCAATTTGTTATTAGAAAATAAAAGCTCATTTACTGAAAATTAACTGTATATAATTTATTTTATAATTTATTTTTTAATTGCGGAAATATTGTAAATATTTTATTTTATATTTTGTGAAATCAAAAAGCAGAAAGCGGCATGCCTAGCGTTTTCCACGCGTTTTTAGGCGCGACATGTGAACGGCCCCTAATACAGTATAACAGGTTTAATAACTTTTGTCTTATAACAAAAATAACTGAACATTTAAATGCAATAAAGCAATACAGAAAAATGTATAAAGTTAAAAGTTTTACACAGATTAAAGTGCAAAAGAACTATAAAGACCAATAGGCATCACTTTACAATAAGACCTCATTAGTTAACCTTAGTTAATGCATTAACATTCACAATGAGCAATAGCTACATTTGCTTCAGAAGTTATTCATCTTTGTTAAAAAATACAACTTAGTTCATGTTAGCTCATTAAATAACACAGTTGCAGCTTTTGATTTTAACAACATGCTATCAAATATTAGAATTACCTTAGATTAATTAATGTTTAGAAGAATTTTTCATTTGCAGTTCATGTTAACTAATGAATTAACTAATGTCAACTAATGAAGCCCTAATGTAAAGTGTGACCAAACAATAAATAATCAAAACACTTTCAAACAATATCTACGGCATGTTGTAGTCCAGATTAAAATGTAAAAAAGTTTGAAAATAAATAGCCTATTAAATCTAAATATTTAAGTATTTGGTGCTGTGATGAACACACAAATAGCGAATACACAAATCTGAATGGCTATTTAAATAATTTAAACGCTTCAGAAACAGAAAGTAGTGCAGCTGCTTTGTTTACAGGGTTTACTGGGTAACACTGCATTTCTGCTGTTTAGCGCCATCTGCTGTCAGAGAGTGAAAGTGTTTTCATCCGCCATGCGCTTCTCATCCGTGCTTGTTTACATCAGAATGCGCATGTGTCTGTGACACAGCATACAGCGGTGTTGTGCATTGTGACCAGTTGATGGGAAAAGTATTCTTAAAATTTATTCAAAATTCAGAATAATTCGTAATAAATAATTATTGTCGGTATTTTGAAGTGCCCACGACAACAATATCGTGCATATTAATTATCGTGATATATCGCATCACCGAATACCGGCACAAACATACATACATACAGACAGACAGACACACACATATACATATGTATATATAAAATGGTGGGGTTAAAACATTTGTATAGTACTATAGTGTACATCTCACCTTCCTAATGCCTTGCAAGCAGTCGAGAACTGTCAGGTTGTATGTGCAATTCCCAAATGAAGCATCCCTGAAAGAGAAACGAGAAGGCATGTTAAAATTGCGTGGGTGTATTTACACAAAATACAATCTAACAAAAAAAAGAAACACCCACAGGAATATCAAGTCATGTTATGCACAAAGAACGGGAACATAGACACTGATTTCAAACCATTGCTCTCAGGTGGTCTGCTTTCATCCAGAGTAAACCATTACCTGCCCATGAATACAAGTAACTGGGTCAGGGCCTTTGTGTTTGGATGTGGGACTGAAGGTAAAGTGACAGGCGAGACTGTGTTGGCTTTTGTCATGTGTTTGTGAAGAAAGAAAACCTTGCTGTGGAGAGTGTACATGTGGGAAGCCAGCAACACGATGGATTACATCTACAAAGTCAAGGCAAAATTAATGTCATGGACAAGAATGTTTTGAACACTTTCAATTCAGGTTTGTTTGTGTACCTATAATGATGTCATTGGGTCAAGGGAAGCCAGGGTTGTAATGAAATGCCTAATGCCTCAGAAACTAAAAGGGGCCAATACACCATCCCTTGCTGAACGCACGTCAAGGAACAGGTTCTTTGTGTCCGCTTTAATTGAGTTTTGCATTATGCATGCGCTTAATTCGCTCTTTATGATGCAGGCTGGGTTGCATAAAAAGTGGGTCAGTGTTCTGCTGGGATCCTTTCAGAAGTCTCCCAGCGTGCCTCAATGGAAAGTATCAGGCTCCATTTACCCACACAAACACTACGTACTCGCATATGCAATCCCATAACTCCCAGAAGAGGGCATGGAGGTCTTGTGTATTGGTCCACTGCTTCAAGGTAACAAAAATCATTAGACTTGATAAGTCTATCATTAGTAGGTTTATTTCTTTAAAGTACAATGAATTATTTTTTTCTTCTTTTTTTTTTAAAGTTATATTGTTGGTGCGTTTATGCCTTTATTGTTGATAGGACAGTGACGATACGACAGGAAAGCATAGGGTAGAGAGAGGGGAACTCGGGTCGCCGCAAGGCTATCAGCGCCGACCAATGAATAGTTTTCAAAGCAATGTTTCCATTTTAAGTTCCTCAGTATTCCCCTTGAAACAAAGTATGGTTAAAGTGCCTTGCTCAAGGAAAAAATTTGATGGATTTGAACTTTTTGGTTACTAGCCCAAATGTTTAACCACAACAAGGTTATAGCACCACCAACTCAAATATGAAGAAAAACACTAACAAGCACAGTCATCTTTAAAAAAAAGAAAAGGGAGACAAGATGAAAACCCAGGCAAGTTTCCAACAGAGCTTTGCAGAAAAATTTATTTTGTTCACACAATTATCTGTACCAGCAGGATCCAAGAAATGTTTGAAGATACAGCTGGAGACTTTCCGACCAGTCAGTGGCTCATTCATCTTCCTTCCCACAGCACAGAGAAATGTTGAGCCAATCGATTTGGCTGTAGAAACACAGCGGCTTACTGGCACCAATTATAGACTTACATCCTGAGGATTATGTAATGTCTCACCTCCGGGAGTGGAGGTCAGGAGTTAGACAAACCTCATTTAAAACGGCACATCTTTGTCCACTTTTAATTTACAAATTGGACATTCAATAGATGCTTTCATTCAAGGCGACTTGCAAGGACAGTCCCCTACGGAGTAACAAAGGTCAAGTGCCTTGCACAGGGGCACATTGGTTTTGCCCCTTGTGCGGTCTGGAACTTTCGGCGATCAGCCCAAAACTCAAATCTCTAGACTAAACAACGTGACGGATAGTTTTGACTGAACAAGCAATTACAGGCTCAAGATCCATTACCATAAGTGGCAAGTCAAACAATGGTATCTCATGGGAATGCATCTACCGCAATTAGTTTCTCCAACAAAGAAGGTATCAGAGAGGGCTGGTCAATGCATTCACATATAAATCTGCTTCTTTACGGTCTTAGGCTGGGTTCAAAAAGCTGGGATAAGCAGAGCTGTTAAGCACAGGGTGTGTCCTGGGCGAGCACTGTAGAGGAGCAAAGCAGAACAAGCTTACAGATGCCAAAACCACAAGCCGCACTTTAGTGCCGTTACGTAACCACAGACGCAGACATGATTTGTTTTAGCAGATACAGATTTACGGCCACAGCAGTAGATGCTGTAATCATACAGGGTCAAAGTTCCTCAGAGACTTGGTAGGCTGGGTATCTTCATGATTCAAATATGATTTAATAAGTCCAAAAGCTTTCAATGCACATGACAACTTGGCAAGACTGGGCAATGAAAGCCCAAGAGAAGAATTCTGATTGGATTTTTATTAGTTGACCCAAGAATTGGTGGAAAAACAGACAAGAGATGACTGTATGCAAGGTCTTGGTGATGTAATGTGCCAGTGATCGAATAAGGAAGGAATACATGAGTTCATCGGATTAAATTTGGCATACACATGCAGTAGTGAAACTTTAAAGAAACAGGAACCCCAATCTCGGAAGTGAACCCTCCCCCATTGCGCATACAGGACTGGGTGTGGAGTTCCTCAAAGAGACCCAAAAGACTATATTACTCTATCATGCTATATCTGGATTAGTTGGGCTCAAATGGATGGAGAAAAAAATGGACTAGATCTTGCCATACAGGGCAGAGTAGGCCTTGCTTACTTCCTCTGGAAGACTGCCACTGCTTTCCTTTTAGTACTGCCAAATATTTGGGCAGACAGAGAAAGATTCTTCCCTGTTCTTACAAAATAGGAGAGTAATGCCAAGGTCTGAATTGTCCGCTGCAGACTGAAGCCCCCCATCCGGGTCATTAGAGGACAGTCTCCATACTAGTATAACGAACACACACCGGTTCACTAGAACATAGATTACACTGCCAACAAACCATCTGAACTATCAGGTTACTTCAAATGTCATCCTAAAAATACATTGCTTGAAGACAATAACTTCAGGTCATGTTGTGCATACCATTATTAGGTGTAAACTTGTAGGTTATGTAAGTTTATTTCCAAGTAAGCCTTGGTGTGGGAAAATGCTGCTTTGCAACCAAGATCAACGTGCAGACATTTTGGCTGGATAGCAAGACTTTGCTTACGCAAGATGGATCAAAACCTTACATTCCCAGGTTTTGTAGGGCTACTAAAAATAGTCTCAAAAAGTGGCCATCTAAAATCCATTAAAGCCCTGTTCTTGGAACAAGAAAAAAATGTGGTGGAAAAGGTGCAGCATGTTATTATTTCAGAAATATACATAACTTCTCAGCCAACATCTTGTAAATTCTTCCTTTGGTGACGTACTGGGTGTCACACAGAGCTTCACTTTATTCAATGGTATGTCCCATTCATTGTTTACCATCAGGACCCCTTCCCTCTCATAGACAACACAACTGTTTACTTTCTGAATTAACCAATTGCTAAGAATTACGTAACTATGTCGCACTGTTTGTCTCCACGAGTAGCATGGCTACAGCATCCAAGTGGGGGGCGCAGTGACAAAGCGCTTTTCTTCCCTTGCACAGCTATGCTGCTAACAATCACATCTTTGTGGAGAAACAAGAGCCCAATTAACCTTCAAGATGGAAAGAACAGCAAACAGAGTAAAAGAAGTGCCACAAGAGGCACGACTAGTAAACATACTGGAGGATTTTATACACGATGAATAATTAAAAAAAACAGCAGACTTGATGTTTCCTTCAGGACTTGAGTCTTAGTAGTTTAACCTTTGCTTGGCCACATATCAAGATCCTGCCCTAACCAGGACCATAAAAAAAGTGTACAGTTCATATTTTAAAAATGTTGTCACATTTACAATGCCAGGTACACAATAAGCAGGATAAACACTAATGTCAATAATGGTGACCTAGATGCCACTGAACATTAAAACTGGCAAAGATAAATAGTTGCTTCCCTACAAGTGCAGACAAGCCCAAGAAGCAGTTATGGTTTTTATAAACTAGGTCAGTCTCTAAATATTGTGATGAGTAAGTGCCTTGACTTGTCAGTGATGAAAAAGATTAAATGTTTAAGAAATGCCTTATGAAAGGCATAATTTCATAACCAAATATTTTATTTAATAATATTAAATAGTTTTGCACACATCAAGATAAGTACTAAATATCACTAAACACTAAATAAATGCTATACAGTGGGTACGGAAAGTATTCAGACCCCCTTCAATTTTTCACTCTTTGTTATATTGCAGCCATTTGCTAAAA